CCAGGTCACCGGGCTCTCCCTCGCTGCAAGTCATGCTATTTTTGAATTCTCTTTTGTTTCTTTCTTTCTTTTCTTTCTTTCTTCCTGGTTTCTTTTTTTGTTTTCCCTTTTTTTTTTTTAATTTCCCTCTTCCTGTTACTTTCTTTTGTTTTCTTCTGTCTCCTCATGTTTGGTCCCTCAGGCTCCAGCGCTAAGAAACAGGGCGAGGACTTAGCGGATAACGATGGGGATGAAGACGAAGGTATTTGTGCGCGCCAGGTGGCTGTCGCTGCATGAACCTGCGCGCGCTCTCTCTCTCTTTCCTCTCTCTCGCTCTCGCTCTTTCTCTCTCCTGCGCGCTCCTCATCCGCTGCCATCTCAGGAAGTCCGGCTGTTTGTGTCTTGCGGCCGGGCTGTGGGAGCCGCAGCCTTCTCGGACACAAGGGGGTTGAGGTGGGCAGCCCAAGAGCGAAGGGGCCCAGAGCCTGCCTGGCCAGCTTTTCCCCTTCTGGCCACCCGAGATGTCCGGTCTGGTCTTTTGTAAAGCGCCCCCCTCCCCGCAGCCAAATTCCCAAAGATTGGGGGTTGCCGGTTTGGAGAACGTCCTGCATGAGGCAGGGACAGAGGGGACGGGTCAGTCTGCCTCTCCCAGGGCTCCCCTCCCCACCTCTCTCTTCCCCCCTCCCTCTTTCTCTCTGCTGGCCACAGCTGGCCAGAGTGGGCACTTCCCCAACCTTGGTTTGGATGTGACCCCTCCCAGAACCCCAGCGGTGAGGCCAGTGGTGGCTTTCAGGGCGTTGCCGTTCCCCAAACCAACCCCGTTTTTCTCTGACTCTCATTGGTCTTCCTGCCTTGTCCTTCCAGCCCTGAGACCCTCCCGGGCTGCGTCCGCCTTGCAGCGCACCCTTTCATGCTCACCCAGGAAACTCTGTCCCCCCCCACACACACACACACACAACCCTATGCCTCCTTGCCGGCCAGGATCCATCCCCTAAGGCTAAGGCGCCCCTCGGATTCTCCTCCGGGCAACTCCGGTCCCTAACCAGATCTTCCTGAGGAGGCAGGTTGGGTGCAGGCGAGGTGACCCAGCCCCCTCCCACGGCCCCCACCCTGGGGTCCGGCCTGGAAGTGCAGCAGCCATTGAGTCATCGCTGAACCGGGAGCATCTGCAAGTCTGGAGGAGCTACCCCCTCCCACTCACTGCCTGTTGTGCTTGCCCCCCCCCCCACAAAAACGGTTGGCAGTCCCTGGGCCACACACAGTGGGGGGTTGGGGGTGGGGATGTAGCATCGGGTGTTCTGCAAGGGAGGAGTCAGGCTGTGGGCCTCTCTTCCACACCCCTGGCCAGAATCGGCTCCTGCACGGCCAAAGAGGGCCAAAGGCCAAGAGGAGGTTCTGCCGGAATCCTGTTTCGAGCTTCTCCCCCTTTGCAGACATCCGAGACAGCGGGGCCAAGCCGGTCATGGTCTACATCCACGGAGGCTCCTACATGGAAGGCACCGGCAACATGATCGACGGGAGCGTCCTCGCCAGCTACGGCAACGTCATCGTCATCACCCTCAACTACCGTGTGGGCGTCCTGGGTAGGGAGCCTGAGGGGGTGGCAGCCAGGGGAGGCCAGGGTGGGGGACAGATCCATTCCGCTGCCATTCTAGGCGCTGCCTGAGAGCCTTCTCTTGATGAATCCTAAGGGCCTTACCGGATAGAAATCCCGGGGCCCCAAAGGATGGAGCCATGGCCGTTAAAGCAGTGCCACATTGCCGTCAGAGGTCCCCGTTGTTCCCGAGCCCCCTGGGGTTTTTGCAAAGTCCCCTTTGTGCATTGGGCACAATCTTGCCAGTAGTGACTGGGGAGAGAGAGAAAAAAAGAGCAGAGCTCTATGGGTGTGTGTATGCAGTGGGGGGGGTTGCAGAAGCGTCTGGCGGTTGCATGGAAAGGAGAGTGGAGCTCATGCACCTTGACTCGTTGTGCAAACGAGGGCCATTCAGCAAAGCTGAGCTGGCCCTGGAAGGTCTTCCTGCTGAGCGGCCCTTCTTCCAAGCCATGAAAACAGGCCCAGATATTCTCTGCTCTGGCTTCTCCTCTGGTGGCCTTCTTAGCTGAGAGGAGGTCCGGAAGAGCTGCCTTCCTCCATTCCTGAGCCTTCCCCGCTGCCCAGCAAGGGCCCTTTGGATCTCCCAGCCCCTTGTTCCCCCCCAAGATAGACACCCCCCCATGGGCATCCTCTGGAAGCCCAGAATCCTCTGGCCCAGGCAGAAGGGGTATTTTCCTTGCTTGGGAATTTGGTCTCGTTTGCACATCCTGGCACACCAAAGAGCAAATATTGATCTGCGGTTAAATATTGAATAAATGTGTTTACCCAGCTCCTCCTCCTGTGCTGCCTGGCAAGTGCTGCTAATGAGCTGCACCCGAGGGAGTATTCAGTGTTCTCCAGTGGGGTGCAGCCAAGCAGACTTGCAGGCAGGGAAGCAGGAGGGGCCCCACCGCCCCTGCTTTGCTGAGCAGGTGTTTCGGAGCAGTTTTGCTGGGGCAGGTGGATTTTGCCACTGGGAGGGTTTCTTTCAAAGGAGATGATGCCCTTGTTCCCTGCCCTGTCCTGCCCCCGTCTCCCCAGAAATCCTGAGCTTTCAGAGTAGGTGCCTTCTGTTCCAGAATGGAGACAGTGCTGATTTCTAAATGCATTGACCTTTCCAATTTTGGGGGGGTGGGGGGATTGCCTGCGTGTAGCGCAAGGTCCCCTGAGTTGCACTGGAGAGAAATTGGTTGCCCTGCTCTGCTGAGCCCCAAGGAAACTGCGCATCCCCACGTGCATTTTGTTCCTCAGACAGGAAGGTCTTTGCATCGCTGTGCCGAGATGCGTGGGTGTGACTGAAGCCAATAGGGTTCACACAAAAATTAAAGCCTGCTTTCCTTATTTCCAAAAGGAGGCAGTTGCAAAGTTTGAGTCTAACTGATAAATGCCCTCGTATTTGTATGCGATGCACATAAAATGTCAAATCTCATTGGCAGAGATTCCTGTGAAACAGTTAAAACCCACCTTAGCAGAAATGGGTCTACGGTGTGTCCCCCTGCCAGGAGGGAAGCCTGTGATTTCCTTGCCAGCTGGCCCAAGGGGGCAAAGGGGAGGGAGCGCCCCCCCCCCGGAGGCTGGGGCCCACCACACCCG